TTTTTATACTTAAGCTTTTATTGCAAAGAGATACAATTCACAACAGCTGTTAGCCATGTTTACCCCAATTAAATGGACTAATCAGGGGGGAAAAACTAAAAGAAAAAATAATTTGTGTTCAACTCTGTATGAGTCTAACATTTAATTCCCTATAGTCTTAGAAGGGTCTTTAAAAGTCTTAAATTACTTGATGAGACCTGCAGAAACCCTGTATTAGTGAAATGTTATCAGTTTAGTAATAAATCCAGAACAAACATTTTTAAGAAAATATGCATATGATTATTAATGATCACATTTTTTTAAGAGCAAGTCTCAATATATTTATATATATTTTTTTAACAAAGCACCCAAAATATTATTAAAACACCATTTAAACTCCTATAGTGAATAAAATACTGAAGATAACATCTTGTGTGCTGTAGTGCTCATTTTTGAGGTTCTATGATGTACACTCTAAAAAAATAGGGGGTTGTTTTTCTACCCAAATCTTGGGTTGAGGCATTTGGGTAATGTTTTGGGGGTTATTTTCAGAGTCTTGGGTAGTTTCAACCCAGCTCTTTGGGTCAAATCAACTCACAGCAGGGCTTGACTGGGATACTCATGTACTAATTTGTTTAAATGCAATGAAAACAGTGTAAGTAAACACAGATTCTGTGCATATTCAGATGATTAAAATGCAGCCCTTAGTCAGACCTTTCTGAATTTAAAAATGTCTTACTAGCACCTTTTGTACACCTGTAATCAAAGCTGAACATCCCGCACCGTACTTCAGTGATGCCGAGTCGAAACAACACAATTGCAATCTTTGCTGGCATTTTTGGATCAACTTAACCTATTATTTAAGTAAAAAATAATCAATTATTGGGTAGAAAAACCCCATTTATGGGGTTAAAAATAATCACCCAATTACTTGGGTTAATTTAACCCCTGATGTGTTCTGTCCCATATTTACCCAGCAGTGGGGTTAAAAACAACCCAATTTGGGTAGTTTTTAACCCTGTGTTAAAAGAGAGAGAAATATAACTTCAGTTTAAACAAAACTCATATTGCGTTCAGATCTTGCCAGCTCTTTGTATGTTGACGCTTTACACCAGAGGCGCCCGAACCCAGTCATGGAGGGCCAGTGTCCTGCAAAATTTAGTTCCAACTCCAATCAGACACACATTGGCTAGTTAATCAAGCTCTTATAGGCTTTCTCTAAACATCCTTGCAGGTGTTTTAAGGCAAGTTAGAGCTAAAATCTGCAGGGCATCTGAGTTTGGGCACCCCTGCTTTACCCTCTATAACTGCTGCTGTGCTTCTTAATGGCTGTGAGAGGTGCTGTTGCCCAGAGAGAGGACAAGCGCTGCTGTAGAAGGCATTGCGTCAGACAGGATAGACAAAAGACGACGTGCTGTCCTTTGCGCCCACATAAAGCCTTGCATTGGAATAGTGTTAGTAAAAATACAAAGGAACTTGCTTGGATGTTTGAAACCCGAAGGCGCGTTTGTTTGTCTTGCTTGGATTAATACATTTGGAGGATGCTGGATTACAGAGGAGTCAATGTGAGGTGGTGTGTAAAATGGCGAGGAGGGTTTTCTTTTTTCCTTTTATTCGTGCTGCACACAGTGACCGCGCAGATTCGCTACTCCATCCCAGAGGAAATGCGGACGGGATTGTTTGTCGGGGACGTGGCGAAGGATCTCGGTTTGGACGTGAAAAGGTTGGTGTCTGGCCGCGCGCGTCTGGTTATTGATGACAGCAGACAATACGTCGAGCTGAACCGCAACAAAGGGCATTTGGTGGTGAAGGAGAGGATAGACAGAGAGCAGCTCTGCGGGCAGAAATCTCCGTGTAGCTTCGGTCTCGAGATCTTGCTCGAGAATCCTCTCGAGTTTTTTTCGATTACCATCGAAATTCAAGACATCAATGATCACGCGCCCGTTTTTTCTAAGAAGGAGATCATATTGGAGATCAGCGAGTCCACGCCTATAGGCACTACGTTTTTGTTAGACACAGCCACTGATCCTGATGTAGGTTTGAACTCTCTTCAGAGCTACAGTCTGAAACCTGCTGATAATTTCGCTTTAAAGCAGCACAGTCGATCTGACGGCAGTAAATACGCAGAGATGGTGCTGCAGTCGGTGCTGGACAGAGAAAAACAGGGCGCGCATGCGCTGATATTAACGGCTGTTGATGGAGGAGACCCGCCGCGCTCTGGAACTGTTAAAATAATTGTTAATCTCCTTGATGCCAATGATAATTCACCGATTTTTACAGACACAGTGTATAAAACAAATGTTGCTGAGAATGCTGTAAAAGGGACCATAATAACTAAAGTAAGTGCGTTTGATGCAGATCAAGGTTACAATAGCAATGTCACATATTCATTTACTCATATAGCTGAAGACACAGCTCATCTTTTCCAAATCAGTGCATCCACTGGTGATATAACGCTCACTGGCAATTTAGATTATGAAACTGTTCAGCAATATGAACTTAATTTGCAGGCTAAAGACCCATGGGGCCTAACTGGTGCTAGTAAATTAGTTATAGATGTTGTTGATGTTAATGATAACAGCCCAGTTATAAGCATGACGTCTTTTTCGGGTAAAATACAAGAGGATTCACCCGCTGGCACGGTTGTAGCTTTGATAAGCGTCCAGGATTTAGACTCCGGTAAAAACGGACAGGTGCGCTTAGCTTTAGAACAAAGTTCTCCCTTTACAATCAAGCCATCCCCGCGGAAATACTACACTTTGGTAACCGATGCGCCACTGGACAGGGAGAAAGTTTCTAGTTTTAACCTGACGTTAGTTGCAACGGATGAGGGCAGCCCTTCGTTATTTAGTAAGATAACTATATCTCTGGATGTCACTGATATCAATGACAACGCGCCAGTGTTCAGTCAGCGCGAGTATAAAGCGTATGTAATGGAGAATAATTCTCCTGGAGTTTCTTTACTCACTCTTCAAGCATCAGATCCTGACGCAGGGCAAAACGCGCGCATTGCGTATTATCTAATAGACTCAGATGTAAATGGTTCCCCTGTGTCATCGCACTTCTCTGTTAACGCGGACAATGGAATTATACATGCAGTGCGTTCGTTTGATTACGAACAGATGAAAGAGTTTAAAATACATGTAAGAGCGCAGGATGGCGGGTCTCCGCCTCTCTGTTCAAATGCTACAGTTGTCATTAACGTTCAGGACCAGAATGACAACGCGCCGCAGGTTCTGTATCCGGTCCAGTCAGGCGCTTCTGTGGTGGCTGAAATAGTGCCTCGTTCGGCAGATGTGGGTTATCTGGTGACTAAAGTGGTGGCTGTTGATGTGGACTCTGGACAGAACGCCTGGCTCTCCTATAAACTGCACAAAGCCACAGACAGGGCGCTGTTTGAAGTGGGCGCACAGAATGGAGAAATCAGAACTGTCCGGCAAGTGACAGATAAAGATGCTGTCAAACAAAGACTCACTGTTGTAGTGGAGGACAACGGGCAGCCCTCTCGATCAGCTACAGTCAATGTTAACGTGGCGGTGGCGGACAGCTTCCCTGAGGTGCTCTCGGAGTTCACCGACTTTACGCAGGACAAGAAATACAACGACAACCTGACTTTCTATCTCGTTTTGGCTTTAGCTGCAGTCTCGTTTCTTTTCATAACATGTTTAGTGGTTATAATATCGGTCAAAATCTACAGATGGAGACAGTCTCGTCTGTGTTATCAAACAAATCTTCCGGTTATTCCGTATTATCCGCCGCGTTACGCGGACACTGTTGGCACGGGAACTCTGCAGCACGTGCATAATTATGAGATTTACAGAACCACTGACTCCAGAAAAAGTGATATGAAGTATTTCGCACCTATCAGTCAAAGTCTGATGAGTGTTGATGCTAGTGGAACAGGAACGATTCTAAAGGAGACGCCAGCGACTGACTGTTCCGATGCGCGCAGCACACTGGTGAGTCTTCACAATTTATTTGCTTTTAATACCTAATAGTACGTAGTTTTTATGATGTGTTCTCAAATGTGATTGGACTTCTTGATGTGATGTTGTAAGCTAATGTATGGCATTTTAAAAATAGTTTGTAGTTCGTATAGCTCTTGAAATAAATAAGGCTATGTGGAAGATATGATTCTACCGGATTAGAAGTGCGGAATCCACACTGTTCCACACTGTCTATTTGTGTTGAAACAACATGAAGGAATTAAATTAAGTACACTGAAAAAAAATGCTGTCTGCAAAATTGTTGCAAGTAAATTATTTGTGTTGAATTTAAATTTAGTAATGTTCAACTTATTTTGTTTGTTTAAATTCAGCCCAAATAAATTGTTTACAAGCACTTAACTTAAAATTATTTAGTAAATAGAACGAATCATCTTTGAATTTTTTTTCAGTGTATTAGTTTTTATAAATGTAAGTGCAGTTTGAAGTTTTCACCCTTAGAAACCTCAAGAATTGTGTTGTTTTGGCTTATTTTTATATAAGTAGTGTGAGTATACAGTACGTCTTTAAAGACCCCGTTCTGTGTTGCGCTGTCCATGGTGCTGAAAAGTGTGGCCTCACTTCAACATTTATTTTTTTCAAAATGTACAGTATATATATATATATATATATATATATATATATATATATATATATAATTGTTTGTTTGGGTTTTTATACGTTTTGCAGCTGTAAGCACCCAACCTTTGTGCAAAAATAACTAAAAATAAAATAGTGCTGCATATTATTTTACTCAGGCTTGTTAATGCATAGTTTGAACAGCAAGGGCCGCTGTTGATTTGAGAAAGACTACTTGGTTTGCCTGGTCATGCAGTGGTCTTTACGCCCTCCCTTTTTTCAAGCGTTGTGACCTGCTCCCTCAACATTTTTTATTCAGAGCTGTATGCAAGAAACGAAGGTGTGCACTCATTTTCGCATTATTTGTCCCTCCTTAACATCTTGGATTACATCTTATCATCTTGCTTAACTGGATTTCTGATTTGCTTACGTTTGGATTGTGATTGAACGGGTCTTTTCGATGGCAAAATGCAGTCATCGGTTTTGGCAGTGGAAAATGCTGCTGTTCTTGCTTTTGTCTTGCTTTTTTCTTTCTGCAAACGGACAGATACGGTATTCCATTCCGGAGGAGATGAAGAAAGGGTCGCTCATAGGTAATGTAGCGCAAGATTTGGGGCTGGATTTAAAAAGGCTTCGCTCGGGTCGAGCGCGTATCGTGACGGGAGAAAGCGCTCAGTACGCGGAGCTGAAAACAGACAAAGGGATTCTAGTCGTGAGTGAGAGAATAGACCGAGAGCAGCTTTGCGGCGACGTCACACCATGCAGCTTCAGCTTCGAGATCATTCTAGAGAACCCAATGGAGCTGCACCCAGTAACCATTGAAATATTGGATGAAAATGATCACGCGCCGTCGTTTCAGAACAAAGAGCTAAAATTCGAGATTAGCGAGTCTGCAGCGCTGGGTTCACGCTTTTTGTTGGAAAGCGCGGATGATCATGATGTAGGCGTGAACTCGCTGCAGAATTACATTTTATCCACGAATAACAATTTTATTTTAAAGCAGCACTCAAATCCTGACGGAAGTAAATATGCAGAAATGGTTTTACAGAAAGCGTTAGACAGGGAGGAGCATCCTCATTTGTCTCTGAAGCTGATTGCTGTTGATGGCGGAAACCCGCAGAGGTCTGGCTCCGTTATTATAGATGTTACTGTTTTAGATGCCAATGACAATGCTCCTGTGTTTAACCAGACAGTTTATAGGGCATCTGTTATGGAGAATGCACCGAAAGGCACTTACATTACTACTGTTAATGCCACCGACGCAGACGCTGGTTCGTATGGGCGAATAACTTATAATTTCTATAAACAAAAGGGAGCTGCTGCGCAGTTGTTTAATATTGACAGCAACACCGGCATTATTTCTGTTGTTGGAGAAATCGATCACGAAAAGGACACTAAATTTGAACTTACAGTTGAAGCTCGAGACCAGGGAGGATTAACAGATTCGAGTAAAATTACATTGGATGTCATTGATGTGAACGACAATGCGCCTGTCATTAACGCCATGTCTTTCTCGAGCACAGTATCTGAAGATGCGCCACCCGACACCACAATTGCGATTATTAATGTTAAAGACGCTGACACCGATGATAACGGCAGGGTCAGTTGTTTTATTGAAGGGTCGGAAGATTTTGTCGTAAAATCGACTTTAAGAAATTATTATTCTTTAGTCACAAATGTTATTTTGGATCGCGAGAAATTGTCTGAGTACAACATCACTGTTGTCGCCACTGATTCCGGAAAGCCGCCTCTAACAAGCAGAAAAACCTTTAACCTAAAAGTAGTTGATGTTAATGATAATGCCCCAGTTTTTAGGGAAAGAGTTTACAACTCCTATTTGCCAGAGAATAATTCACCTGGCGTTTCTATTCTCAGAATTAGAGCTCACGACCCGGATGAAAATCAAAACGCGCGTATATCCTACATCCTAGAGGAGAGCGATTTGGGTGGGTTTCCTGTAGGCACGTATGTTTCTGTTAACGCAGAGAGCGGGGTGGTACACGCAGTGCGCTCGTTTGATTATGAGCAGATCAAAAACATTAAGGTAACCGTTAAAGCGCAGGATGGCGGCTCTCCGCCGCTTTCTAGCAACGTAACAGTGAACATTTTCATCCAAGACCAGAATGACAACGCGCCTCAGGTTCTGTATCCGGTCCAGTCAGGCGCTTCTGTGGTGGCTGAAATAGTGCCTCGTTCGGCAGATGTGGGTTATCTGGTGACTAAAGTGGTGGCTGTTGATGTGGACTCTGGACAGAACGCCTGGCTCTCCTATAAACTGCACAAAGCCACAGACAGGGCGCTGTTTGAAGTGGGCGCACAGAATGGAGAAATCAGAACTGTCCGGCAAGTGACAGATAAAGATGCTGTCAAACAAAGACTCACTGTTGTAGTGGAGGACAACGGGCAGCCCTCTCGATCAGCTACAGTCAATGTTAACGTGGCGGTGGCGGACAGCTTCCCTGAGGTGCTCTCGGAGTTCACCGACTTTACGCATGACAAGGAATACAACAATAATCTGACTTTCTATTTGGTTCTGGCATTAGCAGCAGTCTTGTTTCTTTTCGTAACATGTTTAGTCATCATTATTTCTGTTAAAATCTACAGATGGAGACAGTCTCGTCTGTTTTACAAGTCCAGTCTTCCGATTATTCCGTATTATCCGCCGCGTTACGCGGACACTGTTGGAACAGGAACACTGCAGCACGCGTATAATTATGAGGTTTACAGAACAACCGATTCCAGAAAAAGTGACTATAAGTTTGTCAGACCTGCAAGTCAAAACGTGTTGATAGTGGATCCTAATTCTACAGGAACAGTGCAGCCCGCACACACGGAGAACAACATGCTGGATGGATTAGATTCGCCGGTAGAGGTGAGAATTAATTTATTTAATTAAGTAATTTCATACAGTGTGATTAACTTTGTTTGAAATCGCCTTTAAATCAAATGTGGCTGCTCTTTACCTTCTGATTAAGCTGTCTTTTCTCGTATTTCATGTCAGAAAATCCGCCACATTTTACGCAAATCTGTATTTATTTCAGCACCTCTTCAGTGCATAGCATTTCTGTCAGTAGTATTTTTCTGGAAATATATGCAGTCTCGTAATGCTTATTTTGAACTCCAAGGGCCGCTGTTGGTCAAAGAAACACTTGGTTTGTGAAATGCTTTTTGTCCCTGTAAACCCTGACTCCACCATGTCATGCGCACCGTGACGCTCCTTCTGTTTCATTCCATACGGGTTGGTGAGAGAGTGACACTGTCTTTTTCTCTCCCAAACGAATGCAAAACGTTTTAGTGTTGCCTTTGAATGTTATTTCATCCCATTGAGGAAATATTGATGTTGGACTTGGTGTCTATCCAGTATGGCTGTTAAGGATTTTCATCGAAATGGATGTGCTAGATGGATTTTTTTCTCCCCACCGCAGTGGCGAGTATTGCTTTTCATCCTGTGCAATTTTCATTTCGCCATCTCTCAAATCCGGTACTCCATCCCTGAAGAAATGAGTAAGGGCTCGCTAATTGGTAACGTAGCACAGGATCTGGGGCTGGATTTAAAAAGGCTTCGATCGGGTCGAGCGCGTATCGTGACGGGAGAAAGCGCTCAGTACGCGGAGCTGAAAACAGACAAAGGGATTCTAGTCGTGAGTGAGAGAATAGACCGAGAGCAGCTTTGCGGCGACGTCACACCATGCAGCTTCAGCTTCGAGATCATTCTAGAGAACCCAATCGAACTGCATCAGGTAACTGTTGAAATCATAGATGTAAACGATAATTCCCCTGCATTCGAGAAAAACAAAATGAATTTTGAAATAAGCGAATCTGCGACTCCTGGGTCACGCTTTGCATTAGAGAGCGCGCATGATGCTGATGTTGAATTAAATTCGTTGCAAAATTATATTCTCACAAGGAACAATTATTTCGTCTTAAAACAGCAATCTAATCCCGATGGAAGTAGGTATGTCGAAATGGTGCTTGATAAAGCGTTAGACAGGGAGGAGCATCCTCATTTATCTCTGAAGCTGATTGCTGTAGATGGTGGAAACCCGCAGAGGTCTGGCTCTGTTAATATAGATGTTACTGTTTTAGATGTTAATGACAATGCTCCTGTGTTTAACCAGACAGTTTATAGGGCATCTGTTACGGAGAATGCACCAAAGGGCACTTACATTACTACTGTTAATGCCACCGATGCAGATAGTGGATCAAACGGACATATCACGTTGTCCTTCTCCGATCTGAAAGAGCAGTCGAGAGGTATTTTTAACATCGACGAAAACACCGGCTTGGTGTCTGTTTTAGGAAACATTGACTTTGAGAAGGACAAACGTTTTGAAATCAGAGTTAAAGCAACAGACCAAGGGGGTCTGACGAGTACAAGTAAGCTCATAATCGAAGTAGTGGATGTGAATGATAATGCGCCGGTAATTACCCTCATGTCTCTCTCGAGTCCCGTGTCAGAGGATGCGCCACCAGGCACAACAATAGCAGTGGTTAACATTAAAGACTCCGACTCTGGGAGAAATGGTCAGGTTTCGTGTTTCATTAATGAAAACATCCCATTCAAAATCAAATCATCCCTCTCTAACTATTATAATTTGATCACAGATGCCTTTCTTGATCGTGAAACTCAGTCACAGTTTAATATAACAGTGACTGCAACCGATTCGGGTTCACCTGCGCTCTCGAGCTCTAAAACAGTTAGCCTCAAAGTTTCTGACATTAACGATAATGCGCCAATTTTTGATCAAAAAAGCTATTCAGCACAGCTTATTGAAAATAATACTCCCGGATTGTCTATATGTAGTGTTACTGCGAGAGATTTAGATTGGAATCAAAACTCCCGAGTGTCTTATTATTTAGAGGATGCGCATATTAGCGGAGTTCCGATTTCCTCTTACGTGTCTATAAACGCTGAGAATGGCGTGTTGCACGCAGTTCGTTCGTTTGATTATGAGCAAGTTAAACAGTTTAGTTTTATTGTAAAAGCGCAGGACGGAGGCTCTCCTCCTCTCAGCAGCAACGTGAGCGTCAAAATCTTGATTCAGGACCAGAATGACAACGCGCCTCAGATTCTGTATCCGGTCCAGTCAGGCGCTTCTGTGGTGGCTGAAATAGTGCCTCGTTCGGCAGATGTGGGTTATCTGGTGACTAAAGTGGTGGCTGTTGATGTGGACTCTGGACAGAACGCCTGGCTCTCCTATAAACTGCACAAAGCCACAGACAGGGCGCTGTTTGAAGTGGGCGCACAGAATGGAGAAATCAGAACTGTCCGGCAAGTGACAGATAAAGATGCTGTCAAACAAAGACTCACTGTTGTAGTGGAGGACAACGGGCAGCCCTCTCGATCAGCTACAGTCAATGTTAACGTGGCGGTGGCGGACAGCTTCCCTGAGGTGCTCTCGGAGTTCACCGACTTTACGCACGACAAGGAATACAACGACAACCTGACTTTCTATCTCGTCTTGGCTTTGGCTGTAGTGTCGTTTCTCTTTATCGTGTCCATCATCGCCATACTGTCAGTCAAATGCTACAGATGGAGACGCGAGCGGATGTTTTATAAGTCTGGAGCGAATCTCCCGGTTATTCCGTATTATCCGCCTCTTTACGCAGATGTAGGAGGCACAGGAACTTTACAGCACGTGTACAATTATGAGGTTTGCAGAACCACTGACTCCAGAAAGAGTGATGTGAAATACGGCAGAGCTTGCAGTGAGAGCATCATTAGTCTGGACACCAGTGGAACACAGACACTCACGCACGCGCAAAGGGGAAACCTGGTCAGTGGAGATTTTGATGATCAGGTGAGAATAATTTTCTAAATCACATTGTATTTGTTTAACTACAAAACACTCGATGATTCGTACATAAATGTGTCCATTTTACGTACAAGCAAGTTACTTTAATATATTTTTTTTTCCCTGTGTATTTTACCAAATGTATTATTACGGATTTAATATGAGCTTTGTAATGTATTTATCGAGTTTTCTGGTTTATTTTAATTACTTCTTTGAAGGAATGTTCGATTTTAATTCATCAGATTTTTTTCTGATCATATATTTTTGCTTCATATACCTCTTTTCCAAGTTTATTTAAAGCAATTGCTTATTTTAAGCAGTAGAATTTAATATTATTTTAACGTGAATTTATTATTATTACTAAAATGCTCTCAAAGCAATTCAATCGATTTAATCTATTGCAATCGGTCAAACTTTTTTTACTGTGAACTTTTATAAGTTCTGGTCCTCTAAAATGCCTTAAACGATCGTCTGTGTATTGTTGTTTTAATTGTTTTTTAATCATCTTTAAATACACCATACTATTTGAAATCTACAGTTGTTTTTACTCCGCTTTTTTCTCAGACATTTCTAATTTCATCAAGCGCTTGTGAAGAGTGCAGAGCTCCACTTTAGTCATTGTAACTGACCGTGGTGCTGAAACGCGGTCTTGCACCTTTCTGTCTATAGTAACTTCTTCTTGATTTCGATTCTTGACAACACATCTTCAAGAAATTGTATGTACTTCCAGTCTCAAATCATTATAAAGAAATTAAAGTTCCGTATTCTATCATATTCGTAATTTCAGTTAATTGTGTATTTTAGGTTATTCCGAATAGATCAGGTGTGCGTTTGTGCTCATTTGTGAACTAGTAGTTATTTTCCCCTATTTCAACAAAAACAAAACAGCGTCTTTAGGCACTCTTTTTTTTTTAAAAAAATGGCGATTTTAGTTTAGCACTTTATCATTTTTATCTGTCTGTCTGGAAATAATTATAAAAATGTTTTATGTGCAAACCTTTTTTTCTGTAGTTCTTCAGAATGAACTCATAGTGCCGCTGTTGGTCAATATGTCAGTGTAGAGAGCAGATCTGCTGCAGTTCCACCCCCATCATCTCCATATTATTAGAGAGAGACAGAAGCTGAGAGCACAGTGTGAGGAGGAGAGAGCAGACAAAACACGGAGATACGCTATTCATTATCATTCTCTTATAATTTATTTTGTCGTTGTTGTTGCTAGTTCATGTGTCTTTGGGATTATTTATGATTTTCTGAAGCTTTTTGGACTAATTTTGCCTTCTGCTTTAATCTTCGTTCTCTGGGCTCCTGCAAAATGTCGGATAGAACAATGGCGCGGCAAGTATTGCTGTTTATTTGGTTTCTCTCTGTCAGCTCAGCTCTCGGGCAGGTCAGTTACTCCATTCCTGAGGAAATGGCCAAAGGCTCTTTAGTCGGGAACATAGCGCAGGATTTGGGTTTAGATTTAAAGAGGCTGAAATCGGGGAAAGCGCGGATTTATACAGGAGACAGCGCTGAATACATCGAGCTGAATAAAGAAAGAGGAGTCCTCCTTATCAAAGAGAGAATAGACCGAGAGGCGCTGTGCGGACAGACAACGCCTTGCGCGCTGCATCTGCAGATCATACTCGAAAACCCCATGGAGTTTTTTACAGTTACAATTGAAATAACAGATGTTAATGACAACACGCCCATTTTTAAAAAGAGAAGTGTTGTTTTTAAAATCAGCGAATCTGTTATTTTAGGCTCTAAATTTATGTTGGAGCCTGCTGTAGATCTTGACGTGGGAATTAATGGTCTTCAGAGCTATATGCTGAAACCAACAGATAACTTTAGTCTTAAATTTAAAAATCAAGCAGGAGACGGAAAACATGTGGAAATGGTTCTGCAAAAACCTTTAGATCGTGAAAAACAGAATGAAATAAAATTAGTCCTCACAGCTGTTGATGGAGGAGATCCTCAGTTATCTGGAAGTATAGATATTCACATCACTGTGTTAGACGCAAACGACAATGCGCCTGTTTTCATGCAGTCCGTTTATAAAGCAACTGTGACAGAAAATGCGCCAAAAGACACGATTGTGTCCACAGTGAGCGCAACTGACGCCGACGAGGGTATAAATAGTAAAATAGAGTATTCCATTGCCAACATGGAAGATGATGTTCAGCGATTATTTGCCATTAATAGAGATAATGGTCAAGTCAGTGTGGTCGGCATAATAGATTTTGAAAGAGCTCGTAACTATGAGATACGCGTGCAGGCGAGTGATCAAGGTGGCCTGACTGATTCATGTAAGATCATAGTTGATGTTGTTGATATAAATGACAATGCTCCAGTAATCAATATCATGTCTAAAACAAACGTGATAGCTGAAAACTCTGCATCTGAGACGGTTGTTACAATGATAAATGTTCAAGATGTTGATTCGGGAGATAATGGGAAAGTTCAGTGTTCTGTTAATGAAAATATTCCCTTTTCTCTTAAATCCACAAATAATAATTTCTTCAGTTTAGTCACTGATGGTGATTTAGATCGCGAGCGAGAGTCTGAGTATAACATCAGTGTGACGTGTGCTGATGAGGGCGTGCCCTCTCTCTCCAGCAGCGTCACTCTCTCCTTACAGATATCAGATGTGAATGATAACGCGCCTGTCTTTGAGCAGAGCTCATATCAGGCCTCTGTTCAGGAAAACAACACACCTGGTCTTTCCATATTCACAGTCAGAGCCAGAGACGCAGATTTTAACCAGAACGCCCGTGTGTCCTACATACTGGAGGACTCGTCGGTTAACGGAGTGCCCGTGTCCTCGTTAGTGTCCGTTAGTGCTGATAGTGGAGTCATACATGCAGTGCGATCTTTCGATTACGAGCAGATCAAAGAGTTCCAGTTCCGCGTAAAAGCGCAGGACGGAGGCTCTCCTCCTCTCAGCAGCAACGCGAGCGTCAAAATCCTGATTCAGGACCAGAATGACAACGCGCCTCAGGTTCTGTATCCGGTCCAGTCAGGCGCTTCTGTGGTGGCTGAAATAGTGCCTCGTTCGGCAGATGTGGGTTATCTGGTGACTAAAGTGGTGGCTGTTGATGTGGACTCTGGACAGAACGCCTGGCTCTCCTATAAACTGCACAAAGCCACAGACAGGGCGCTGTTTGAAGTGGGCGCACAGAATGGAGAAATCAGAACTGTCCGGCAAGTGACAGATAAAGATGCTGTCAAACAAAGACTCACTGTTGTAGTGGAGGACAACGGGCAGCCCTCTCGATCAGCTACAGTCAATGTTAACGTGGCGGTGGCGGACAGCTTCCCTGAGGTGCTCTCGGAGTTCACCGACTTTACGCACGACAAGGAATACAACGACAACCTGACTTTCTATCTCGTCTTGGCCTTGGCTTTAGTGTCGTTTCTCTTTATCGTGTCCGTCATCGCCATACTGTCAGTCAAATGCTACAGATGGAGACGCGAGCGGATGTTTTATAAATCTGGAGCGAATCTTCCGGTTATTCCGTATTATCCGCCTCTTTACGCAGATGTAGGAGGCACAGGAACTTTACAGCACGTGTACAATTATGAGGTTTGCAGAACCACTGACTCCAGAAAGAGTGATGTGAAATACGGCAAACCTTGCAGTGAGAGCATCATTAGTCTGGACACCAGTGGGACACAGACACTCACGCATGCGCAAAGAGGAAAACTGGTCAGTGGAGATTTTGATGATCAGGTGAGGCTTTCTTATTAACAATATGTGTTGTAACCGTTTATAAGGACTGAATCCATTCAAATTATTCGTGCCTTTATGGAATATTTTCTGTTTGCACAAGAAAAAAAGACTATTTGTTGTAATTTGTCTTTTTATATTGTGGTGGCGTATGGTATTTTTATTTAATTTGTTTATATTTATTTGTCCTGTGGTAATATTAGCAAGATCTTTGTGCTATTTTTTCCGCTGTATTGCGTTATTCAGATTTATCGAAATTTCAGAGGGAGTGACTAACGTCCTTCTCAATTACTGTTATACACTTGCGTAAAACAACCAATATAAACGCGTAAATTTAAAGGCCTACAATACAAAACTGCATCATTTTAAAATATGGGAATATTTTTTTCTACTTTGAGCATCCTCTATCCTCTTTGAACACATTTTAGTTTTAAAATCTTCAGAGAAGATTGAACTCAAGTCACCGTAACTGACCATGGTGCTGAAATGTTTTACATTTCGTGTCTTGTTTCTTCTCCTATTTTAGGTCTTTAGTAATTTAAAATCATTCAAATAAGTTGTCTTCATATTAAAAAATATTTTGGTCGACCGTTTTCACGTATTTTTAATCTCTGTTAATTAAATATTTATCATTTTCTCTTCAATTCCGTTTAGAAAGTTGCATCTAAACTTGTAATATTTAATTATTTTCATTTTATTTTGCTTTTGGCTTGTTTTTTTTACACATTTAATTTAAATAATTCTTCAATTTCTTGTTGAAAGATTGCATTTTAATTAACTTTAAAAACGGCTATAATTGAGTCATGATTTAAGGGGAGATCATTTTAAAACACGTGTTATAATCTGAATATACTGTATGTTTTAGTCATTTTGTAGTTCTTCAGAATGAACTCAAAGTGCCGCTGTTGGTCAATATGTCAGTGTAGAGAGCAGATCTGCTGCAGTTCCACCCCCATCATCTCCATATTATTAGAGAGAGACAGAAGCTGAGAGCACAGTGTGAGGAGGAGAGAGAAGACAAAACACGGAGATACGCTATTCATTATCATTCTCTTGGATTTACAGAATTTTGTTGTTCTTTCTACTTTGGATATACACATGATTCCCTTCACATTCTAGGATCAAATTATTTGTCTTCTGCTTGAATCTTCATTCTCGGGTTTTCTGCAAAATGTCGGACAGAACAATGGCGCGGCAAGTACTGCTGTTTATTTGGTTTCTCTCTCTCAGCTCAGCTCTCGGGCAGGTCAGTTACTCCATTCCTGAGGAAATGGCCAAAGGCTCTTTAGTCGGGAACATAGCGCAGGATTTGGGTTTAGATTTAAAGAGGCTGAAATCGGGGAAAGCGCGGATTTATACAGGAGACAGCGCTGAATACATCGAGCTGAATAAAGAAAGAGGAGTCCTCCTTATCAAAGAGAGAATAGACCGAGAGGCGCTGTGCGGACAGACAACGCCTTGCGCGCTGCATTTTCAGATCATTCTCGAAAATCCCATGGAGTTTTATAGTGTTAATATTGAGGTTGTTGACATGAATGACAATGCACCGTTTTTTGAAAAAAGTGAGATGATTTTTAGGATTAGTGAAACTGCATCACTTGGTACAAAATTCACGATAGAGCCTGCTAATGATTTTGACGTTGGAGATAATGGTATTCATACTTACTCACTGAAACCAACAGATAATTTTTCTTTAAAATACAACATTCTTCCAGGAGGAGACCATCAAATCGAAATGACGTTACAAAAGCCTCTAGATCGTGAGAAGCAGGAGCATTTGTCCTTAACATTAACGGCTATTGACGGAGGAGATCCTCCAATGTCTGGAAATATCCAGATTAATATTATTGTATTAGATGCGAACGATAACGCTCCTGTTTTCTCTCAGACAGTTTATAAAACTGCAGTAACTGAAAATTCACCAAAAGGCACAATAGTTACTACAGTGAGCGCGTCAGATCTTGATCAGGGAGTAAATGGTGAAATAACTTACTCTATTAGAAACACTATTGATAAAGTCCGAGACATATTTGAAATAAGCGAGACTGATGGTAAAGTCAGATTGATCGGTCTAGTTGATTATGAACAAGCTCGAAACTTTGAGATACGCGTACAAGCAAGTGATCATGGAGGCTTTACTGATTCTTGTAAAATAATAGTTGATGTTATTGATGTAAATGATAATAAACCGGTGATTAATATCATGTCCAAAACAAACGTGATAGCTGAAAATTCTCCGTCTGAAACCGTGGTTACAATGATAAATGTCCAGGATGCTGACTCAGGGGAAAATGGGAAAGTTCAGTGTTCTGTTAATGAAAATATTCCCTTTTCTCTTAAATCCACAAATAATAATTTCTTCAGTTTAGTCACTGATGGTGATTTAGATCGCGAGAGAGAGTCTGAGTATGACATCAGTGTGACGTGTGCTGATGAGGGCGTGCCCTCTCTCTCCAGCAGCGTCACTCTCTCCTTACAGATATCAGATGTGAATGATAACGCGCCTGTCTTTGAGCAGAGCTCATATCAGGCCTCTGTTCAGGAAAACAACACACCTGGTCTTTCCATATTCACAGTCAGAGCCAGAGACGCAGATTTTAACCAGAACGCCCGTGTGTCCTACATACTGGAGGACTCGTCGGTTAACGGAGTGCCCGTCTCCTCGTTAGTGTCCGTTAGTGCTGATAGTGGAGTCATACATGCAGTGCGATCTTTCGATTACGAGCAGATCAAAGAGTTCCAGTTCCGCGTAAAAGCGCAGGACGGAGGCTCTCCTCCTCTCAGTAGCAACGCGAGCGTCAAAATCCTGATTCAGGACCAGAATGACAACGCGCCTCAGGTTCTGTATCCGGTCCAGTCGGGCGCTTCTGTGGTGGCTGAAATAGTGCCTCGTTCGGCAGATGTGGGTTATCTGGTGACTAAAGTGGTGGCTGTTGATGTGGACTCTGGACAGAACGCCTGGCTCTCCTATAAACTGCACAAAGCCACAGACAGGGCGCTGTTTGAAGTGGGCGCACAGAATGGAGAAATCAGAACTGTCCGGCAAGTGACAGATAAAGATGCTGTCAAACAAAGACTCACTGTTGTAGTGGAGGACAACGGGCAGCCCTCTCGATCAGCTACAGTCAATGTTAACGTGGCGGTGGCGGACAGCTTCCCTGAGGTGCTCTCGGAGTTCACCGACTTTACGCACGACAAGGAATACAACGACAACCTGACTTTCTATCTCGTCTTGGCCTTGGCTGTAGTGTCGTTTCTCTTTATCGTGTCCATCATCGCCATACTGTCAGTCAAATGCTACAGATGGAGACGCGAGCGGATGTTTTATAAGTCTGGAGCGAATCTTCCGGTTATTCCGTATTATCCGCCTCTTTACGCAGATGTAGGAGGCACAGGAACTTTACAGCACGTGTACAATTATGAGGTTTGCAGAACCACTGACTCCAGAAAGAGTGATGTGAAATACGGCAGAGCTTGCAGTGAGAGCATTATTAGTCTGGACACCAGTGGAACACAGACACTCACGCATGCGCAAAGGGGAAAACTGGTCAGTGGAGATTTTGATGATCAGGTGAGAATTGTTTAATGACTTTTGCGGAGCTTTTAATGCATTTTTTCCTCAAGAATTTAAATGTAGTTTGAATTGTTGACACGTTCACTAATTGACCCTGCATTAGTACTTGTTTTTATTTGATTATCTTGTAGAAAACTGCAATTGTTTATTGATATATTTTTCATTTTTAAATTTAAGTTGGGTGGTTCATTCTGCTGCGCGACCCCTAATAAATCAGGGACTGAAAGCCGAAGGAAAAAGAGTGATTTGGTGGACTTTTAGGTCTGTATAGGCTATTCGGCAGCTATTTTCTGAAAATAAATGTGTCTATTTTTGTGGATTAAACGAGTCTTAAATACTGAAATATAAAAAAAGTCTAATATTTTTCTGCATCAGACAGATTTATTGGTATTGTTTTCATTTACATTAAGTAGAATTTCCTTTTATTCAGTTTTTTTTTAAATATCCGCTCTTTCCAAGTTTTTTTTATTTATCATTATTATTTATTCATTATTATTATTATTATTATTATTATTATTATTATTATTATTATTATTTATTATTATTAGTATTAGTATTATTATTTATTTATTTATTTATTTATTTATTTTTATTTTTTTATTTTTATTTATTATTTATTTATTATTTATTATTATTTATTATTATTATTATTATTATTATTTATTTTTTTTTTTTTTGCAGTTGAAGTCTCGTAGTTTAGTCTTCTGAATTATATGCTAGAAATTTTGTTTCCACCTTAACTTCATTTTAACTTGTTTCGTGAGCAGTTATAGCCAGTGTTTTCTTCGCTGACCGTGGTCCTGAAATAAGGTTATGGCGGTCATTACCCTCATACTTTTCTCAGCTCTTTAAATATGCGATATTTGTTAGAGTTTTCTCACTTTAATGATCTGTCCCCTGTTTAAAACTAAACTATACACAATTGTATATATTAATCGACCATTGTTGCTTGGACTATTGCATTTTGGCAAATATTTGTTTGTGTGATATGTGCTCATATTGGGCCTGATCAATCTTGTTATCCCGAAATAAATAACTTTATTTAATCATTCATTCAAGTTTTACTCAAATTTCTATTATATGTTTATTTTTTATGTGCTGTTGTTGTTGTTTTATTTTTATTTTATAGTTCTGCACATTTAGTACACTGCTTTCCGAGATGTGTATGATACTGAGGTAAAAGTTTATTAATTTGGTAGTTTCTGTAGTTCTTCAGAATGAACTCATAGTGCCGCTGTTGGTCAATATGTCAGTGTAGAGAGCAGATCTGCTGCAGTTCCACCCCCATCATCTCCATATTATTAGAGAGAGAAAGAAGCTGAGAGCACAGTGTGAGGAGGAGAGAGAAGACAAAACACGGAGATACTCTATTCATTATCATTCTCTTGGATTTACAGAATTTTCTTCTTTTCACTTTGGATATTCACATGATTCCCTTCAGTTTCTTGGATCAAATTATTTG